GTTGAGGCAGCGGAGCCCCGGCGCGGGCGAGGGCTGGTCCGCCCGGTACAGGTGGCCGTTGTCCCAGAAGCAGCCTGTGAGCAAGCAGCCAGACACTGAGTTGGGCTCCCGGCCCGGGCGAGACCCGTCGCGGCTGGGCGCCACAGGCGGAGCAAGCCCCGCGGGCGTGCCAGCGCGATTGTGTACCCGTGCGCGTGTGTGCCCGTCCGTGGGCATCAGTATGTGCACCGTGTGTGCGCACGTGTGTGTGCGCTGGTGTGCACATCCGTGTGTGTCGGTGCGTATCGGCGTGAACATCAGCACATCCGTCTGTGTGGGGGGCAGTGGCAGTGTGTGTGTTGGGGTGTGTGCCCGCCAGCTAAGCCCTGCAGAGACTCCAGGGGTTGTAACTCAACTGGCAACCCGGGGCGCCCTTTATGGAGATGGTGGGCCGTCCAGATGTTCAGGTTACATAAACTGCTGTGCCCTCCCTGGGGCGGCCACCTGGGCCAGGTGCCACCGGCTGCACACCCTGCACTCCGGGGTCCCTTCAACTCTGGCGCCAGGATGGGACCCCAAGCCCAGCCCCCCTCAGTCCAAGCAGCCCAGGAAGGGGCTGGGGTGGAGCACAGGGTGCACAGACCCCAGAAAGAACAGGCTGGTGTGCGTGGGGTGAGTGAACCCCCCCTAACTCCCAACGATTTGGGAGCCCCAGGCCAGGAAAGAGGAAGTGGCTCCTTGCCTTTGTTCTGCAGCGCAAAGATGGAGCTGCCAGCCCCTGCCAGGCAGAGCAAAGGGACTGAATCGCTTTTCCTGGGTGAGAGGAAGCAGCAGAGAGCCTGCCCGGCATCGTCCCATCCAAGCCTGGCTGCCGTGGGAAGCGGGGGGTGGTGGTGGGGGGTTCCCCGGTTGGGCTGCGTGAAGTCGCTGCAGACAGGGAAGCTTGTCCATCTCCTTACCTCCCGCTCCGTAAGCTTCTGCCAGCAGCATGTTGCTGACAAGGACCGTGCGCACCCAGGCCAGCAGCATCGTCGCCCGGGCCGCCCTGCAGGTGGATGCACAGCCCGTGTCCCGAGCGCTGGCGGCCGGCGGTGTGCGTCGGCCCAGCCCTGCAGGCGGACCTGCCCGGTGGCTGGCGGCTGGTAAACAGCCTCTCTTTAGAACTGGGAGCTTCCCCAGCCAGCTCACTGCAGCGGCGCCCAGAGGCGCCCTCTGGGTCCTAAGCTCCGTGTCGACCCAGCCCAGCCCAGCGTGTGTG